GGCCGCGAGGCCTAAACAACAGGCGTTTCCTTCCTCGCAGTCGTGGGGGCGGGAAGTCTGCGATCAGCGTGTCGGGGGTTGGTTTCCGGTGGGGACTCGCGTCCTGGCCTGTGGACGGCCGTCTTCTCCCTGTGCCTTCACATCGTCATCTTCCCCCTGTAGGCTTGTGTCCCAGTCTCTTCTTATAAGGACACCGGTCACGTGGGGTTAGGGTCCACCCGCACAGCTTCATTTTGACTCAGTCGCCTCTTTACCAACCCCGTGTTTACCTGCTGGCACGTGCGAGACACTAGGGGTTAGGACTTCAGCGTATGAACGGGAGGGGCACCGCTTAGCCCATGACGCCCCATCCTGAGCTGGAGAAGCCCCCTCTGTCAGGGATGGTGGAGAGGGAGAGGTCCCGGGGCCAGACCCAAATGCTTCCCAGGGCAGAGCCCGGCCACCGGCAGGGAGGCAGTAGTAAGTCCGGTCTGCAAGGTGAGCTGGGGACAAAGCGGAAGTGCAGAAGGCGGGGGCTGCAGGCTGGGGAGCAGAGTGAGCCGCCTGCCGTGGGGTGCAGGCGTGTGCCCGCTCCGTGTGTGTCTGTGTGTGCACGCTCCCCGGTCCGTCTGCAGGACGTGGGCACCCCTCTCCTCTGAAGCACCTCTCCCAGCCTCTGGACCCGGCCTCACCTTGGTCTCTGTGTTGATGATCACCACCCCCCCACACACACCCTTACCCCACATCTGGCTTCCTTCAAGGAACCTTCTAGCAGCGTGTCCTCCCCCAGCCCGTACCATGCTGCATGTCGTCTGGAGGGCAGAGCTCTGCGCCAAGACGCAGGCTTGTGTGCGTGTGCTAGGGCGCACACGTGTGCACACACTCAGGCACACGTTGGTGTGTAAACACTTGACTCAGGGACCTGCCGCCCCAGAAGTCCGGCCTCCCCACTCCCCGGCCACAGCAGAAGGCTTCTGGGCCCTCCCTCTCCTCCCAGGGGAAGCTGAGGCCCAGGGAGTCACGCGGAGTCCCTTAGGCTCCAGCGTGAGTGAGAGGCAGAGCCGAGATCAGCGCTGGGGTCTCAGGGACCAACCCCACCCTGCTCTGCCGCAGAGGAGATAGAGTGACTCGCGGTGGTGATGGGTGGCGGGTGCCCTGGGTCACAGTGACTTAAAGCTGAAAGTTGTGATGCGTAAGGTCAGCCTTCTAGCTCCCCCTCCTCAGTGTCAGCTGTTGCCTTATCTGCAAAATGTCCTTATCTGGAAACTTCGAAAGAGTCCAGAGCCCCTATTACCAGGGCCAAGACTCTCCCCGCCAGGGGCTGCCCAGGCTCCTCTTGGATGCCTCCCTGATGAGCAACTCATTACCTCCATGACATCGTGGTCCGTGTCGGGCAGCTCATGCAGAGATTTTCATTCTTTCGACAAAAACGTGTTGAGGGCTGACCGTGCGCCGGGCCGTGTTCTGAGCACCGGAATGGAGCAGGGAGCAACTTGATGTCTGTGCCCCCACGGACCGTAATTTCTAGTGGGCAGAAACCACAGATTCGTGCATAGAAAGTACAGCTGGGTGGTGAGGAGTGTGATGAAGAAAATAAACAAAGAAAAGGGACGGAGAGAGATTGGGTAGGGGCCAGTGTTACTTTAGATAGAATGATCAGGGCGGATGTTCCTGAACAAAGAATGGGGTGGAGGGGAGTGATCAAGCAGAGAAATGGGGAGACAAACAAGTGAGTATCAAGGGGAGAAAATTCTGGGCAGAAGGAACCGCACATGCAAAGGCCCTGAGGCAGAAACGTTCCTCGGCGTGTGCAAAGAACAGCTAGGGTGGTTTGGATGGTGCAGGTGGTTTGGTTTTGCCAGACCAGCTCCTTAGCCCGGGGACAGGGGCATGCAATTATGCCCCCCTAACCCCTCACTCACACCCTCTGAGTCTGGTGCCCATCTGGTGGCCCCTGCCCCCACTGTGCCTCCAAGGGGTCCAGATGGTCAGTGGGGAAGTTGGAGCAGCGAGAGGGGCAGAGGGGACTAAGTGCCACTTAGTGGCTCTGGGGCCTCCAGGGGATGGATAACGAGAGCCGGGTCAGTGTGCTGACCTTCCATGTCCCCCACCCTGGCCCCCCGGCCAGCATAGCGAGCACTTACGCCTCACTGACCACAGCTGCCCTTCTCTGAGCCCAGAGGGACAAGCACGGGGCCCTCCCCATCTCAGCCAGCCCCCTGCTCCCACAGGCCCTGGTCCCCCCACCCCTGCCCTGGGCTGCTCTATGGCTCCCAGAGCATGTCCTCGTCTCAATAACCCCATGAGGTGGGTGGGGCTGAGGTCACCACTGCGAGTTTGGAGGTGGGGACAGGCTCAAAGTGGGAAGCAACTTGCCCATTGAGTCTGTGGCTGGGAGAGGCCTTGACCTTGAGCCCCAAAGCCTCTGTCTGCCAGCTTCCTGCTGCTTCTAAGGCAATTGGTTCACTGCTGTCCCTGGCTGGGGCCATTAACCTGGGTTCCCACATGCGAGCCTTGGGGCCAGCAGACCTGTGTGGCAGCGATTCCAGGCACCAGCCAGGAAGGCTCTCCCTGTCGCTGCAAACATCCTCTGTCCTTATCTTGGACTCCTCTGCACACCCCCACCCCACCATCAGCCCGGCGTCTCTGGCCAGCAGTTCCCACGGCTGCTCCTAAGGGCTGCTCAGCGGGTACCATGCCTCTTAAAACAGCGGACCCCAAGGGCCTCAGTCGTGCCTCAAGCCCGTCGCTTCGTTTTCTTTTAAACTGCAGACTTAAAAAAAAAAAAAAAAAAGGATATAGACACTGCAGCCTCAAGAGCAGGTAATTTTTAGTTCGCTGCTTCTGTGGGGAATTGGGTGTGAAAGTTTGTGAAACTGTCAAGTTTCAATGACAGTAGCAAAATGATAAATATGCGTAAACTTCAAATAACATCTAGTTACTGAGTAGGAGTCTGTTCTTTGGGACAGAGGTCTGTGCAAATAAATCACTCAGTGTGTGGACCGGCTGGGATTGCTGGATGCAAGTCCCCGCAGATAAGTAACTCACACACAAGGCAGGATGGGAGGTGCCCTCAGAGAAGGACAGAGCTCTGAGGACATTCTCAGGGGTTGAGGGCGCATCTTGGAGGGCTTCATGGAAGAGGTGGTGTTGGAGCTGGATGGTGGAGGAAGGTTCAGGCTTGGATGTGCGCAGGTAGGAAAGGAGAGATTTCCACGCAGAGGGTGCAGAGTGAGAGAAGGAGGGGGGAGGTAGGGCAGCATCGGTGAGCATGGTGACAGTGAACTCCCCATTGACACTGCCAGCAGGGGACTGGGACGGGGAGTAGTACTAGGGGGAGAAAACCCTGGCCCCGAGTGCCACACTCAGCTGCAAAGTGACTTTGATTTTAGGGAGAGGGTCTTTTAAAACACACACCTGCATGGTGTTGCACAACTCATAGAGTGCTTTCCTATTCGATTCTCAAAAACGAAACAAAGGACAGCCCGCATCCTGCGAGATCAGCATTAGTATTAGCGTCCTGATTTTCAAGTTGGGGAACGTGACTCAGGATGTTCATGGAAGATCCAGAATAGGATCTTAAACCTCAAACCTCCGCGGTGGGCACTTCTTGTTCCTTGATAGTGTCTAACAAGTTTTAAGCTGGGGACGAGAGGACAACAAGGTCTGATTTGGGTCCAGAATTTGAAAGACTATTCTGGCTGCGATGTGGGGGAATGCCGGATATGGGGTGAGGGGAGACCCAGCGGCCTGTGTTAGGTTGTCGCAGTGACAGGAGTGAAGCCAGAACTGAGTGGCCAGGCACAGTGGCTCACGCTTGTAATCCTAGCACTCTGGGAGACCAAGGCAGGCGGATCGCTTGAGGTCAGGAGTTCGAGACCAGCCTGAACAAGAGCGAGACCCCGTCTCTACTAAAAATAGAAAGAAATTAATTGGCCAACTAAAAAAATATATATAGAAAAAATTAGCTGGGCATGGTGGCGCATGCCTGTAGTCCCAGCTACTTGGGAGGCTGAGGCAGGAGGATCACTGGAGCCCAGGAGTTTGAGTTGCTGTGAGCTAGGCTGACACCAGAGTCAGCAACCTGGGAAACAGAGTGAGACTCTGTCTCAAAAAAAAAAAAGAAGTGGGCCAGAGGCCTGGGGTGGGTGGACAGGGGACAGCCAGAGAGGGAGTTGCTAGAACTGGGCAGCTTCCTGGGTGGGTGGGGTTGGGGGGAGCCCAGAGGAAGGAGGAGGCCAATACTTAGGTCTGGCAAACTGAGGATAAATTTCCTGTTTATACAGTGAGTGGCGAGAGGGAGCAGGCGGAGAGACAGCTGGTGCAGTGGTACAGGGCTTGGGTTGAGAGCCAGGTGGCCACGGGTTTGAATCCAGGTGCCGGCCCCCTTTGCCCATGTGACTTGGGTAAGTTACTCAAGTGTCCCGCACCTCAGTCCCTCTATCCTATCCGTAAGATGTGACAGTGGGCACTCAGAGAGGAAGTTATTGATAGAAAACTAGCTGAGTCGGTGGAGATCATAGCGTAGGATTGATCCGAGGATCAGAGGAGCCGAGGCCTGGCCAGCACTGGGCGCCGGGCCGGGGTGCGGGGATCAGAGCGAGAGCTAACTCTTCCCGGCACCGGAGCCCACTCTCAGCCCTTTGTGCGTGCCGCTTTGAAAGTCCGCACAATGGCCCTTTGAGGCACAAACCATTTTTAAACTCATTTTACAGGTGAGGACACCGGGGAATAAAACCCGGATAAAGCTTCAAAGGCTTTGCGATGGAATTAGCGTTACCCCCTCGTCACAGACAAGCGAAGCTGCGGCAAGAGGGTACTTAACACAGCACCAAAGGTGGCGCCAGGCAGAGAGCCCGGGCAGCCCACCCAAGGCCAGGGAGCCACGCTGAGCCTGTCCAGCTTGCGCTGCGGACCGCCCTCTTTGGGGGTGGGAGGAGTGGAGGTTGGGGCGCCCTGGGGCCCCTGCGCGGCCTCGCCTCACCACTCCGGGCCTCCTCTTTCCTCTGTCTTGTCCCCAGCCTCCAGCCGCTCCCACCCGGCCAGCCCCAGCCCACCCGGGCTGCACGCCAGCCCGGTGCTGCCGGTCAGCTACCGCCTGTCGCACACGAGGCTGGCCTTCTTCCTGCGGGAGGCGCGGCCCCCGTCCCCTGCGGTCACCAACGGCTCCCTGCAGCGCTCCGAGCCCTTCGTGGTGTTCCAGACCAAGGAGCTGCCCGTCCTCAACGTCTCCCTGGGGCCCTTCAGCACCAGCCAGGTGGTGGCGCGGGAGCTCCTGCAGCCGTCCAGCACCCTGGACATCCCCGAGCGCCTGACGGTCAACTGGAAGGTGCGGGCCTTCATCGTGCGCGCGCGCGTGCCCGCCTCGCAGCCCGTGGCGCAGGTGCTGTTCTACGTGGCCGGCCGGGACTGGGACGACTTCGGCGTCACCGAGCGGCTGCCCTGCGTCCGCCTGCACGCCTTCCGCGATGCCCGGGAGGTCAAGAGCTCCTGCCGCCTCAGCGGGGGCCTGGCCACGTGTCTGGTGCGCGCCGAGCTGCCCCTAGCCTGGTTCGGGCCCCCGGCCCCGGCCGCCCCGCCCGCGGCCCGCCGCAAGTCTCCGGACGGGCTGGAGCCCGAGGCGGCGGGGGAGAGCCAGCAGGCGGAGCTCTACTACACCCTCCACGCCCCGGACGCGTCGGGCGGCTGCGGGGGCTCCCGTCGGGGGGCCGGGCCCGGCGGCGCGGGGGCCCGGGCGGAGAGCCCCACGCAGCACCCGCTCCTGCGCATCGGCAGCATCAGTCTGTTCCGCCCGCCCCCCAGGAGGACCCTGCAGGAGCACTGGCTGGACAGCAACCTGATGATCCGCCTGCCCGACCGGCCCCTCAAGCCCGGGGAGGTGCTCAGCATCCTCCTGTACCTGGCCCCCAACTCCTCCTCGCCCTCCAGCCCCAGCCTGGAGCATTTCACACTCAGGTAGTGGGGTTCCCTGTGGGGGGCTGGGTGACCTTCCAGTTTCAACTACATGCCTCACCCATGGGGGGTCTCCCGGCTGGATCCCTGCTGGGCATCCTAACCCCAGCTCTTCCGTTTATCACTTGAGCACTCGGGAAGACACCTCCCTTTTTTGAGCCTCAGTGTTCTTATCTGTCTAATGGCTACAAATATGCTTGGCCTTACTTATGGATCGCATCGACATGGCATCCTGGTAAAGAGGAAATATCACTTGTTCCAAGTGTGGGCGTCCAGGGCTGGAAGGGCCCTGAGACATAAGCTGGTGCAACTCTCCCATTTTATTGATGAGGAGACCAAGGCCAAATGGAGATCAGAGATCGGCCTCTTAGCTGGGAGCCAAAAGATGAAGAGGAGTGTGTGTGTGTGTGTGTGTGTGTGTGTGTGTGTGTGTGTGTATTGGGACATCTTCCCAATCCTAGAGTTGGGAGAAAATTTTTCAGGGCTCCCAGCTCTTTCTATACCTTGAGAAGGACATAGTTCACAAATTCAAAAATGCCTTAAACTGACCAGGCGAGGTGGCTCACACCTGTAATCCCAGCACTCTGGGAGGCCAAGGCAGAAGGATGGATTGAGGTCAGGAGTTCAAGACCAGCCTAAGCAAGAGTGAGACCCTGTCTCTACTAAAAATAAAAAAAATTAGCTGGGCAACTAAAAATAGGAACAAAAAATTAGCCAGGCATGGTGGTGCTTGCCTATAGTCCCAGCTATTCAGGAAGCTGAGGCAGTGAGACTCTGTCTCAAGAAAAAAAAAAAAGCCTTAAACTGTATCGCATCCCCACAAAACATAATGATGCTTCACAGTAGGAATCCACGGTTTGAGTCATGCTGGGTGATTCCGAAGACATAGGAAAGGCTCCACCAAAATGCACCCCCAAGCACTACGCATGGGACCTGACACATCACCAGTGGCCTCCAGCTTCTTTAAGTATTGCCGTCTCTCCTGAGTGTACTACCTTAAAGTTCAAATATTCTTGGACAGGGTCATACCTGATTTAGTGGTTGATACCTGAATGTGGATATCAGTTAAATCAGTCATCAGAGATCTTGGGCTGCATTAATAGCAGTAGAGCATGTAGAATTAGGGAGGTGATAATCATCCTGCGTTAGTTAGTGTTCATTATAATTGAGTGCACCTGAGGTTGTATCTAGTGTAGGACACTACACTTTGTGTGTTCGTAGTTTTCCAGAGGAGGGTTGCTAGACTCTGGAGTGATTTGAAACTATGGCAAAAAACATTGGGAGGAGCTAGAGAAGAGTCAGAGAGCAGCTACACGCCTCTCGGGTTTTCTGAACTGTAACAGCTAAGTTGGAGGAGAGCTGCTCTCTCTCACCCCGCAGCGCCCATGGCTGTTACATTTCAGCTACGTACAGGGAAGATGGGCTTTCTGAGAAAGGACTGTGATGTGTGCAGAAGTACTGAGTCCCCCGTCGCTGAGGTATGCAAGCAGAGATCAGGCTAGGTCTTGGCAGGGATATGGTAGAAGGGGTTGCAGCTTCCACTGAGGGCCAGAGGTTTCAGCCACAGTGCCAGATTTCCCCAAACACCGAGTCTAGGACTCAGGGGAGCTTAGCTCATCTGCTCTCCCCACAACCCCAACATAGGGGTGGTGGCCGGGCGGGCAGCCTTTGGGCTCTCGCCTGACCCCTCTCCCTCTTCTTCCTCCCACTGCATCTCAGGGTGAAGGCCAAGAAGGGCGTGACCCTTCTAGGCACCAAGTCACGGAGTGGCCAGTGGCATGTGACCTCGGAGCTGCTGACGGGGGCGAAGCACTCGACAGCCACCGTGGACGTGGCCTGGGCTCAGGGCACGCCCCTGCCGCCCTGGTGAGCCTGGGGTGGTGAATGTGCCACCTCTTTGCAGGGCAGCCACCTGTTGGGATGGCGGGGGACGGGGATTCTCGATGCAGGAGGCTGGACTTACGGAGGGCTGGGACTTGGCCAATGGGGACTCTGGGGTCTGGGCCCCTGGCCAGGGTCCTGGGGCTGGGGCACCACAGAAGGGCTGGAGGAGGCTCGGAGGGTCCCGGTGGGCAGCGGCCAAGGAGGGGCAGCATCCCCCACTGAGGGCTTCTGAGCTTTGGGGCTGCTCCCAGCCCTTCCTCCACTGCTCTCCTTCCTTCCCCAACCCTGGCAGGGAGGGCCAGGGCCCCCTGGAGATCCTGCAGCTGGACTTTGAGATGGAGAACTTCACCAGCCAGTCCGTCAAGCGGAGGATCATGTGGCACATCGACTACCGCGGCCATGGCGCCCTGCCCGACCTGGAGCGGGCGGTCACCGAGCTGACGGTCATTCAGCGGGACGTGCAGGCCATCCTGCCCCTGGCCATGGTGAGTGGGCAGGTGACTGTGCCAGTGGGCGCCTATGCATGCATGCGCGTGGCAGGAACGTGCACGACGGAGAGTCCGTACAGAGGGTGTGTGCGTGCGAGACTGCCTCCTGCGCCCAGGGGTGCGTGCGTGCAGCCACGGGAGGCAGGCGCTGCTCTGTGCCTGGCGCCGGGAGGACAGCAGATGCTGAGGGGGGCAGAGGTGGGAGAAGTCACCATGGACGGCCACTTGGGAAGTTTGCAGGGGGAGGTGGCCATGCAGTTGGGTCTTGAAGGTCACGTGGGAGGAAGGGCTCCAGAGATGAGGGGAGCACCCTAGGCAGGGGGTCATGTGCGCAAAGGTGCCATGGGGGGGATGTGAGTAGTCTGTTCAAAGGGGCAATGGATTTAGAGCGTAGTGGGGCGGCAAGGCTGGAATAATCGTCGGGACCAGCCAGGGGGACATGGGACCAGCCCAGGGCACCCTGAACGGCCAGGTGAATGCATGAGACGTTACTGTGTGAGTCCCGGGGAGGTGGCAGGGCCGGGGAAGGGCTGTGTCCTGGCAGCAGAGCGAGGCAGACCCTGGGCTCCTGCCGCAGGCCAGGCGAGCAGACCATGTGAGAAGGCGGGGAGGGGGAGCAGCGGTAGCCAGGCCTTGGCTAGCGTGCCCCAGGAGAGAAGGGACCACAGGCAGAGTCCCTCTCCTCCCTCCCTGTAGGACACAGAGATCATCAACACGGCCATCCTCACTGGCCGGACAGTGGCCATCCCCGTCAAGGTCATTGCCATCGAGGTGACTGGCCTGGTCCTAGACGTCTCCACCCTGGTGGAGTGCGAGTCTGACAACGAGGACATCATTAAGGTAGGCTTCCTGGAGGTGGGGGCCCGGGGGAAGCAGGCCCTGGCCTTCGGGGAAGCGGAACCTCACGCTGGAGTCCAGCGGCTCACTCTTACTCGGCCTTGGAGATGGACTCGCAGCTGCCCTGCCGGGCCACGGGCTTTCCCTCCCACAGCACGGGCTTTCCTCCTCCTAAGCTTCACCGTGCCTTTCTGGAACGTTCATTCCCAAGTCTCTCGCCCCCCATGACTCCCACAGTGCTCCCCGCCCCTGGTCCTGCTTCGGTACTGGAGCCTTCCTGTAGGAACAGGGAACAGACCTCCGCCAGGCCAGAGGGGAGAAGGCAGTGTCGGCAACTTGAACTTGACCCCGCAAGTCACTGTTGAGCCCTGGTGGGCGACAGACATAGGGCAAGGCAACAGGGGGCAGGTTGGGGGAGCAGACCTGTCTGCCCCCGGGTGCTGGAGGTCAAGGTGAAGGAGTTGGGGCCATGGAGGGAGCCCTGAGAAGCACGAGAGTCAGGCCCGGAGCGCAGGTTGTACACTGGCGGCCCCATCCCTGGCACACGCGCCCCAGCCCCTCAAGCTCCTGCAGGCCCCTCCCAGCCACCAAGTCCCCACCCCCGAGCGTCTGCCCAGGAGCGGCTCTGGCCCTGGGTCCTCCACAGCCCAGCACACAGGACACTCTTGTGACTCCCATGGCCACTTTGCCACCTCCCCAGCAGGGCTCCAGGTTTGTTCTTTCCCTGCCTTTGGACGGTGGTCAGAGGCAACTGGGGAAGGAGGAAGTGGAGTGGGCAGTGACAGACGATGTCCTGGTACCTGTGGGGTGGGCACACCAACTGGCATGCCAGCGTCCAGCAGGTGCCACAAGCAGCGGATGAGACAGCTGGATTTGTTTCCTGTTCGTGTCAGCAACGCAGCTTGAAGGAGAGTGGGGACAGGAGGATGCTACAGGTGGCCTCCTGCTCACTCACCACTCTCCGTGCCCTGCCTCTGGGTCCCTTTGGGTCTGGGGGCACTGGGGGCCACCTCACCCATCCCTGATCCAGGAGGGAGGCCCTCCAAGGAGTCAGAGTAGATGGCCTGGTGCACCCTATCACCTCCGTCAGAGAAGCCACCCCGAGGTGTGCGGGGCTCGCCACTGCTGGCGGCAGGGACGGGAGGAAATGGGCTTGCTCCCGAGGGTGTCACTCGCACCTTCTCTGCCACCCAGACTCCCCGCCCCAGCCCCAGTGCAGACCAGAACAAAGTCACGATGGCCCGAGCACCAAAGGGAATGAGTGAAGGTTCTAAATGGTTACAGATCCCAACGAAATACACCCAGGTTCTTTATGGAGTTTGCCACATTCTAAATGGAATTTGTGGGCCTGCGGATGGAATTCTCTGCTTTCCGGAGTGGGAACTGAGCATTTCTGGCAGGGCTGCTGTCCCCACGTCCCTCCACCCACCACTCCAAGGCGATGAAGGGAGCTGGCAGGGTTTGGGATGGTCCGAGGGCTCATCTCCAGGGACAAGCCACGGTCCCGGCCCCTGCCGCTCCCCCGCGGAGCCTTCAGGGCATCAGCAGCCCACTTCTGCGGGCCAGACTCGAGCTGGGCGCCCACGGGCGTGCACCGGCAGGAGCATCTAGATGCATGTGCACACTGGACCACCTCCGGCTGTGCCAGGTGTGTGCGTGGGCACATGTAACACACACGCCCACCTGCATTTGCCCTGAAGTACTGGCAGTGACACCTCTGTGAATGGGCACAGGTGTCCACCAACAAATACTCAGCAGGCATGTGGTTTCCACCCAGGGAACCTCTAGGAACACAAATCGGTATCCAGGTGGGCATGCATTTATAAAAGCCACATCCGTTGGTGGCAGCCATCCACCCATCTGTGCTTGGTTCTCTGGTCCTGAGCTTTCCTCTCCCGCCCCCTCCCCTCCACACCCGCCTAGAGCAGCCCCCTCACCTGAAATTAACCAGCTGCCCGTTCTCTTGGGACAGCTGAGCCAGAGGGCCGTGGCGGAGGCCGGGGTCTGCCCCCACCCCATGCCTCCCACCACGACTTCCTCTCAGCCCAGTCCAGCACCCCATGTCCCCCTCTGTACGATGGAGGACTCCACCTGCCAGTCACCTGGTTCCAGGCATGGAACGAGGTTCCGTGTTCCAAGGCGTGGCTCTGAGCAGCCAGAAACAGCCCTTATGAAAATGTTTGTACTTGGGCTTCTTGCCTAGGAGCAGAACCTCCCCCAGTGGGCACTAAAAGGGTGATCTCTGGAGAAAGAGCAGAAGCCGGGATGGGGGCCGGCACCTCCTCCCACCTGGCCTCTCCCCTTCAGCCTCCCGGGACTCCTCCGCACTGCCCCACCTGTAGGGCCAGACATGTCATCTGCCCCTCCTTTTCTCCAGGTGTCCAGCAGCTGCGACTACGTGTTTGTGAGCGGAAAGGAGTCTCGAGGGTCCATGAACGCCAGGGTCACCTTCCGCTACGACGTCCTCAGTGCCCCCCTGGAAATGACAGTCTGGGTCCCCAAGCTGCCCTTGCACATTGAGCTCTCGGATGTCCGCCTCAGCCAAGTGAAGGGCTGGAGGGTGCCTATCCTCCCCGACCGGAGGTACAGCCCCTCCCGCGCGGCACACGCTCAGGATACTCACAGGTGGACACTGTGTAGGCACTCAGTCTGATCTGTATATGTGTATAAGGCCCTAGGGACATACAGTCTGTAGGTCGGTTATGCAGTCAACAAACTTTCACTGAGCAGCTACTGTGTGTCAGGCACTGGTGGGTATTTAAGAGGTTGGGTAAGTGTGGCCGGTGCCAGACCCGGCCAAGCTCTCAGTCCAGCAGAGGAGGGAGCCAGGTACACGACCCACAGTGTCAGTACGTGGGAAGCCCCGTGTGCCCCAGGGAATCAAGTGGCACCAGGAGAGAACCCCCTCTTCCTCCAGAAGAAGTCAAGGCAGGCTTCCTGGAAGAAGCGACTCTGAAGCTCAGTCTTAAAGGACAAGTGGAAAGGGGTTGGTTGGGGAGACAGAGAGAGAGAGCAATCAGGCAGACACGCTGACACAGGAGCACGCACACCTGTACACCCGTGCCCCAGCCTAGGCACACCAAGGGCACACTGGTGAGCACATGGGCCGGGCACACGGTGACTCACGCCTAGGCTCCCTTGCGGGGGTGCAGGCTCACACACCTGAGTGCCCAGGTACGGGGTGCAGGCATGTGCACTCACCCCACTCCACTCACCCACTCGGAGCTGCTGGAGAGAAAGCCCAGCGGGGAGGAGGAGACAGGGACAGTGGCAGGCAGCTCAGAGCGGGAGGGGGCGGGGTTGGAGAGAGAAGCAGGTGGTGAGTGGAACAGGCGGCCAACAGAGACTTGGGCTGAGTTCAATTCGGCAGAGATTTGGAAGAGCAAGGTAGTGGAGAAGAGAGATGCTGAAACTATATAACGAACACATGAGTCACCTAGGGCTCGGGTTCAAATGCAGACTCTGATGGAGGGGCCTGGGGCACATGCTGCGACTCTACACTTCCGAGCAGCTCCAGGGAGATGGTGGCACTGCTGTGAGTAGCGAGGATGTAGTCAGCTCTGAAGCCAGACAGCCTGCTTTGAATCCCGACTCCCCTATTTACTAGCTGTGTGAACTTGGATAACCTTTCTGTGCCTCAGTTTCCTCATCTGTAAAATGGGCACAACAACGCCTGCCTCATAGGACTGTTGTGAGGATTAAATTGGTTGACACAGGTAGCAGAGCCCTCTGTGTGAGTGAATACTGTGATCCTTCCCAAACACTAACGAAGCGCTAACCACAGAGAAATTTGGACTTTCTCTCCCGACCATACCTTCCTGGCAGTGAATCTCCTGGCTTTAGCATCTTTTGCAATTCACATCTGAGAATCTCCCAAATCATCAAGTCCAGGTTCCCTTTTGCTTAACGGTTTATTAGTTTATCTCTCTCCTCTCACAAATTGCTAAAAAACAGCAAGAGGAAACCAGGCTGCACTTTCCACTCCTTGCTTGGAAATCTCCTCCTCTAAATATCCGAGACCGTCCCTTACAGGTCCCGCTTCCCACACAAGCGCAGGACACGATTCAGCCGAGCTTCCTGGCAGTCTCTGCCGCGGCACCTTTGCTCCCATTCAGAGCTTAGAGCGGTGCCAGGCGTGTGCTCAGTGCTGAAGACGAGGTAGCAGTTGCTGCTAGCATGTGGTGCCAGCTATTGCCAGGCATGGGCTAAGCCCGGCAGAGGCAGGGAGGGACAAGGGAGGGTCAAGGAGGTGCCTCTGGAGGAGAAGACGGGCTGGGACTGCTGGCTCCAAGCTCAGAGATGGATGGAAGGCGGGAGCCCGAGGAGAGGCTTGCTGTCTGCAGAGCTCCCACCCACAGGGCGCAGGGGGCAGCCAACAGGACGGGGGGAGGAGCCTGAGTCCACATCCCCACCCCAGGTCAGCCCGGGAGAGCGAGGACGAGGAGGAGGAGGAGGAGGAGCAGCGGCGGCAGAGCGCGAGCCGCGGCTGCACCCTGCAGTACCAGCACGCCACCCTGCAGGTCTTCACCCAGTTCCACACGACCTCGTCCGAGGGCACCGACCAGGTGGTCACCATGCTGGGTCCCGACTGGCTGGTGGAGGTCACTGACCTAGTAAGTGACTTCATGCGGGTGGGCGACCCCCGAGTGGCACACATGGTGGACAGCAGCACGCTGGCGGGCCTGGAGCCGGGCACCACCCCCTTTAAGGTAGGCACGGGCTCCGTGCGTCTCGGCACAGCGGGGCAATGTCAGGAGCCCTCTTTACCTGGGGGCGGGGGGGAGGCCTCTGGGAGCAGCCCCAGGCGGCCCCCAGAACACTCTTCCCCCCTGCGCCTCTGTCTGAAATCCCACCGTCAAAGGTCAAGCCCTTTCAGCTTCATCCTGTAAAGGTTCTCACTCCCAGCCGTAGCGACCTTTCCCAACTTAGCCTCCCCGGCGTGGGAACTCGCAGGCAGAACCTCCCTGACAGCAAGCCCTAGAGGCCAGGAGAGCAAGTTTGGGGGTCTGGGAACTCAACTTTGACCTTCCCAGACTTATTTCCACCCTGACAATTGGGTGTCTGGGAGGAATCATTCACCTAAGAAATTTTAAGTAGTGACCCGTGGGCTGGAATCTGCCTGCAGACATATTTGGCTTATATTAATAATTGACAATTGATCAAACATTTAAAAATTGGGAGGTTTCTTTAAAAAAAAAAATCTAGGTTTCTGGTTTTACAAAAAATAAACCTGGCAACACTGGGGCCGTATTCCCATCTAGCAAAAATCAGCTGGTGGCCCCTTCCCATGAGCATGCGTTCCCCCGTTTGCCCCAGTCCCCACCACTCCCTTTTGTCTGCCTGACACTGAGGTTGCACATCGTTGGCTATTTTTCCCAGCGTGGGGGTGGTTGTTTTCCTTACAGTCAGCCCGCCTCCCTCCTCTGTGTTCCTGGCTGCAGAGCTAAGGCAGAGCTGAGGTCCCCCCCCCAGCCCGCCCCGCCCCTCTGGGCCCCTCTCCCAGCAGTGCTGGGATTGCTCCCTGGCTGGGCATCTTGGGGGGGGGCTGCCTTCCTGGCTCTCTCCCACCCCTGCCCCACCGTCTCAGGTGGTGTCCCCACTGACGGAGGACGTGCTCGGGGAGACGCTGCTGACGGTGACGGAGGAGAAGGTCAGCATCACGCAGCTGCAGGCCCAGGTGGTGGCCAGCCTGGCCCTCTCCCTGCGGCCCAGCCCTGGGAGCAGCCACACCATCCTGGCCACCACGGCCGCCCAGCAGACCCTCAGCTTCCTCAAGCAGGTAACTGGCTGCCAGGTCCACCGGCCAGGGTGACGTCTGGGGTGTGGAAAGAGAACCTGGGGACTCTGCCTTTCCTTTGCACCACAGGTCCCCAGATTAGGGTTTTAGGTGGTGGAGGATCTGTCCACCCTCTGCGCCTCCTGCTGAGGGTCTCCCTCCTGGATTCACAGCGGGCTGTCACCTCTGCCCCACGCCTAGGAAGTGCCCTCACCCATCTCTGCAGCTCCAACCACATACCCTGGCCACTGGCCATAGCATGAAGGTGGAAAGGTGGCAGGTGGGGGCCTGGGAAGGGAGAAGGTGAACATCAAGCACCAAGCCAAGAGTCAGGACCCAGGGGTCCTCTGTCCCTAACTTGTTCCACGACCCCAGGCAATCGCTTCTCTATCTTATCTGCAAGGAAGACAATTCTCAGGTTTTGGCCACAGAGGAGGCTGGGAGTGGGTGTATAAAGCAGTTGCCGATTTTCCGATGGGGGCTGTTGTGGAGCTATGGGGCTATTCCTGCAGCAGAAAGGACTTGAGGTAGACCCAAGGCAGAGCTTATCTTCCACTCATCAAGGGGAGGGGGTGAAGTGGCTAGGAAATCCTGAGAGCAGTACGAGGCCTGGGTACCCTAGCCTGCTGTTTACCCTCCCCGAAACCTGCGACTGTCACTCATACAGCAGTTCCTGAGTGCCTGCCACATGCCGGGCACAGTTCCAGTGCTGTGGGTACAGCCCGGAGCTGGAGATGCTCCGTCCCTGCCCTCAGGGAGCTCAGGATCTAGCAGGGAGGCCAGCTGAACCGGCCTTCTGACACCTGTCCGCTTTTCCTCCTCCTCCAGGAAGCCCTCCTGAGCCTCTGGCTCTCCTATAGCGATGGCACCACGGCCCCACTCTCCCTCTACAGCCCCCGGGACTACGGGCTGCTGGTGAGCAGCCTGGACGAGCACGTGGCCACTGTGACGCAGGACCGGGCCTTCCCGCTGGTGGTGGCAGAGGCGGAGGGGGCAGGGGAGCTGCTGCGGGCCGAGCTAACCATCGCCGAGAGCTGCCAGAAGACCAAGCGCAAGAGCGTGCTGGCCACCACGCCCGTGGGCCTGCGGGTGCACTTTGGGAGGGACGAGGAGGACCCCACCTACGACTACCCGGGCCCCAGCCAGCCAGGGCCTGGCAGGGGCGAGGACGAGGCCCGGGGGGCCGGCCTGCCTGGCTCCGGGGCACCCGCCCCCGAGGGCCCGGGCCCAGGCACCGCCAGCCCGGCCGCGCCGCCCACGGAGGACTTCCTGCCGCTGCCCACCGGCTTCCTGCAGATGCCGCGCGGGCTGACCGACCTGGAGATCGGCATGTACGCGCTGCTGGGCGTCTTCTGCCTCGCCATCCTCGTCTTCCTCATCAACTGCATCGTCTTTGTGCTGCGCTACCGGCACAAGCGCATCCCGCCCGAGGGCCAGACCAGCATGGACCACTCGCACCACTGGGTGTTCCTGGGCAACGGGCAGCCGCTGCGGGTGCAGGGGGAGCTCTCGCCGCCCACCGGCAACCCGCTGGAGACCGTGCCCGCCTGCTGCCACGGCGACCACCACAGCAGCGGCAGCTCCCAGACCAGCGTCCAGAGCCAGGTGCACGGCCGGGGCGATGGCTCCTCGGGCGGCTCGGCCCGGGACCAGGCCGAGGACCCCGCCAGCTCGCCTACCTCCAAGCGCAAGCGGGTCAAGTTCACCACTTTCACCACGCTGCCCTCGGAGGAGCTGGCCTATGACTCGGTGCCTGCCGGCGAGGAGGAGGAGGAGGACGAAGAGGACCTGGGGTGGGGCTGCCCGGATGTGGCGGGCACCGCGCGGCCCGCTCCACCCCCAGACCTGCACAATTACATGTGCAGAATCAAAGAGATTGCCTAGAGGCGCCACCCGGGGAGGCAGGGACACCCCCCATGGGTCTGCTCTGGGTGGGACGCAGCCGCAGCCGGGACCCCCACTCACACTGGCGCGGGGCAGCTGACTGGTTTCGCACTCCCTGCCCCTGCCGCTTTGCTCAGTGCCCGGCGGGTGCCTCTGTGTCTGGTCCTCCTGCCACCCCATGCCGTCACCTGTCACCCCGGTCTGCCCCCTGCGGGTGGAGGGCTCTTCCTCCAGTGGCTTGCGGGGAGGAAAGCGATCCCAGCCTTTGTTCTCCCCTTTCCAAACCTCCTCCCGTCTCAGGCAACCCCTGCCCCAAGGGTGAGGCAAGGAGGCCAAGCTTGGGGCGAGGCAGGCCCACACTGTGCTCCGGCCCCCGCCTCCCGTGCCCCCCGCCATCCCCCCGTGCAGGGGGTGCTGGGGGGGTCTCGTGTCACAGGCTGCACAAAGACTTTTCTCAAACCAATATTCAGGGATTTCTGTCCTGCAGGGTGGGGAGGCGGCGGCTGCCTGCCCTGCCGAGGATCTTGCTGTGGACAAAACATCTGGAGGTAGGGGGACAGCCGTAGCATCTCCTGGCTTCCAGGTGCCTCCCAGGATCTGGGAGCTGACTCTACAGAGGGGTCTGGTGCCAAGCCAGGCACCTTCCTTCCTGAGTTCTCAGGACTCCCTCCTCTGCCCCAAGGGCTCTGGGCAGGGACCCGCAGGGGAGGAGTCCTGGATCCAGCTGTAGCCAACCGCACCCCGGAGCGCGAGACCTGGGTGCCTCCGCCTCCCCTCCCCCGCAGCGGGGGCCACACTACGACGCCTTAGCCGCCCCTTGCTCTGCGAACACTCCTCCCCTCTCCGTAGCAGGGCAGGCAGCCAGCCACGCCCCACTCGACAGAATCTGGGGGGCAGGGGGCACCAGGGAGTGCTGTGAGGGACTCGAGGGGGGACGAAGTGTCTCCCCTGCCCCGGCCCACAGCCACTCTTCTCTGGGGTTCTACCCACCACTGTGTCGGATTTTTCTTAAATAAACGGAGGCGGTCAGACTGGAGGTGGGGGCAGCAGCTCCCGTGCACAGACGGTACGTGGCGGCTGGCTCTGTCTCTTACTTGCGTGCACACACACACACACACACACACACACACTGCAGGCTCACCACGGGACACAAGACGGGGACGGCTGGACTGACCAGGCTGGGGTCCTGCCTTTCCTCCCCCCACCATTCAGGTCCCTTAAGCCCCACTGGTGCTGTGGGAAGCCCACGTCCAGGGCTGGAGGAGTCGCTGACCCCAAAATGTGCCCCTAGGAGGAAGCACCTCTTCTAATTGGCTCAGAGGAAGAAAGACCACACCTCGGCCTGTAGCGAAATGACTTGCAGCTCGGGGGAGGACGCAGGAGAATAAGGAGAGAGGTGGCAGGGCTGGTGTGCCCACCTGAATTCCTCCCCTTTCCTGCAGCCCACCTCTCAGAGGGGGTCCCTCCCCCGTGCCTTCTGGGATGCCTCCCTTCTCCTCCTCTGGGCGCTAGCGGGGGAGGCCCAGGGGCTGCCAGGTGCAACAGCCAGGCAGGAGAGAGCACAGGCGTGTTGGGGTGCACCTCTGCACCAGGGGTCATGGGCTGCCACCCCACGGCACACTTGGCCCATGAGTGCACACATGGTCTCCTGTGGCCCTGGGAGACCACTCCCCAGCACAGGCAGCAACCCAGGGGGTACAGGAGCTCCAGGCCTGAGGAGGGCAGGAGCCTGAGCCAGGCTTCCTGGCCAGCCCTGGTGCCCAGGGACATGTGGCTATAGCAACCACCTGGGAGAGGGAAAGCAACAGCCACCTGCATCTGTCCCAGGAACAGCTGGTGGCAGGACCTGGGTTACAGTGGCGCCTGCCAGAACATGTGCTGCCCACCAAGGAACGAAACCCGGTCTTCCACAATACCTGGTCACGCAGCCCCTGGGCAGGTTAGGGACTAGATGAGATCATGTATGGGAAGCGCTCTGCAGGGCTCCTGGCATGCACAGACAGCAGCACACCATGGATGGACTTTGCTACAACCAGGTCTCAGTGTTCGGGCAAGGCATGGTCTGAAAGGGAGCTAGCGGTTGACAGCTCTGCCCAAGACACGTTTGGCAACAAAGAACAGGTGTAGCTTCAGTAGCAAGGGGAGAGAAGGGAGCTGCAGGACAATGTCCCCAGGGCAGAACCTCAGGGGGGCTGGGCAGGAAGGCTCTCGAGTTCCCAGAACACCAGACACCCGCCATTTAAAAACACACACCGACTACGTGCTCCTAGCGGGGCACGGGGGTCTCGGTTGTCTTTCTTAACCTCCTTGTGCCTAACACGATGCCTGGAATTGGCAAGTGCTCAACAAATGTTTGCCTAGCGAATTAAAATCCAAATGCAAACTGCAAATGGCTTTCCAATTATCCCATGTTTGGGGACTTTGGCATATTCTACCACCTTACACCCTATCAGTGTGGAAAATCATGTGATCCAAGTCACCCCCTTGGGGTTCTTATAAGAGAGAGTGGAGATGGGCATAGACGTTAGTCAGGGAAGAATATCCCAGCTTGGGGGCATGCACGGGGTGGGGTGGGTTGCTGGAGTTAAACTTGGAACATGGAGCCGTTTGTTTATTCAATATATTAAGTTCCTACCATGCACTGGGCCCTGCCGGGAAGTCTGGGAGGCAGAACTGTGGGCCTGCCTTCCAAGGAGCCCCCAGCCCTGTGCGGAAAACGGGCAGGTCAGCTGCCACCTGTCATCTGGGCTGACAATGGAGCTTGGCCCTGGTTGAAGGGCCACGCAGGAGGAGGGGAGAAGACCTGCTTAAGCTGAGTTTGCTGAGGACAAGGACAGGGACCTTTCAGGAAGCAGGTAGCCAGTGCAAAGGGCCAGGGGCTACACACTCCACACCCCGCGCTTTCCTTTGCTGCCATGACTGTGCACCTGCTTTCCATATGCCTGGAATATGAGTCCCCTGTGATAGAAGAGACACACACACGAAAAAAATAGATTCAGAGATATGAAGGCCAGCGAGGAGTGGTAGGTTCCACACGGAGTTGGCAATCGGGCTTAGACTTGGGGCTCAGCTGTTTCCATCTTGCTGGGTGAAGGAAGGAGGGTGGCGGGGCCCGAGGGTGCTGCAACGGAAAGGATGAGGCGCTGAGCTGGGCAGTAGGAACAGACAGCTGGGTGCAAACAATGTTCAGGGACAGGATCCGCCAAATGCTTTGTCCCGGTGGGGACGACGGGGAGGAGACAGGAGCTGTGGCTCCACTGCGGAGACCATTTCCAAATGAACTTGGGAGACCGGGCGGCCCCAGGAGGAGAGTGGATACTACCACCGTGGTGTTGGCCGGCATCCAGGCTTTCACAGCAGAGAAACTAGGACCTGGAGGGGAGGAGCAAGTGGCCAAAAGTCCCATGGCAAACCTCGGGACAGAGCCAGAGCCGTGCCGGCTGCCCTGTCCTGTAATTTGTGTCTCTCTCTCTTCATCCCTCACCCCCTGTCCAAACGGGAGAACTCAGAAGCAATTGCTGGAAGCGTCAACTCCTGACCCTCTCGGAGTTCAAGCGGGAGCAGGCTTGGCAGGAGTGAGGCGGGACATTAAGTTAACAGCCCCTTTGGAATGGCCCTGGCACCGCACGCCTCTTTAGAAATTTGTCTTCGACCCCGAAAACGAAGCGAGGGACCTTGTAAAGAACAGTTATTGACAGAGAGCTGCTCGGGGAGCCCCAGGGAGGCAGGCCCATGAATCAGCTCGCTAGCAAAACGAGGTTGCTCAGACAGCCGGGCGGAGCGGGAGACACGGACAAACGGCCTGGAGCAGTCCCTGCCCCACTGCTTGCGGCCACCCAGCCGGCACTCGGCCTGCACCGACCCCGGACGCTCCACTGCGCCTTCACCCAATATTGACCGGGCACCCACCGGCACCAGGCACCCTACTCCCCCAGGAGAAGGCTTCGGGGAGGGAGACCTTGGAGCCAAATTGATAAAACTGAAAATACAATAAATGGACCAGAAAGGACAATTCTCATTTGAAGGGACAAAACTTTCTAAGACAGGTTGGCAGGGACTGCTGGGGTCTGACGGAGCATTTGCTAGGTGGTGCCTTCAGCCAGCACATCACCAGTTCTGAGCCCTCGTCTCCCGATTCGTGCAAACCAATCAGCACGTCTAGGTGGTACTCCCCGGCCTCCCTAAGAGGCCCTGCTGCTTCAACGCTCGAATTTCTAGAAAGTTTTGGAAGACAGGAATTACCGCTGTTTTATAGATGAGGAGACAAGCGCAAAGAGAGGGCAAGTAATCGCCCAGGTTCTCCAGCTTAGAAGTGAGCTGTGGGCAACTCCAAACCTGTCTGCTTTCTGCTACGTGCTGACGCACCTGATGACGTTGGCAAGTGACGGGGGAGGAGGTTGGGGAGATTTGCAGGCGGGAGGGGAAGTGGGAAGGGTCTCTAAGGATTTGAAGTGCTCAGTGGTGGGGGCAAGGCTGTGGGACCCCCCTTGAGGCACTGATGGTAGCTAGCGTTGGGGGCAGATGGAAAACCATAGGTGCTTGGTCTCTGCCACTGCTAGACAGACCACACTCCCTCCCCGCACTGGGATCGCCACCCGCAGATCACTGTCACAGGAGACAGGCATCCGAACTCTCAAACCAGAGCAGCAGCAGGCCCTCCTGAGCAAGGCACTGAGCTGGGCTCGTTTGGAGAGCTGGTGCACAAGCAGACATGCCTGGCCCTTTCCCTTGGGAAACTGGCTGTCCCTTTAGCTGCTGGGGCTGAGCAAGAGATACTGGGAAGCTGAGGCCATCCCTTATGGCCCTCACCCCTGCCACGTTGGCTCAGTGAATGTTTACGAAATCCTTGCCATACATCTGCCAGAGTGCCAAGCACAGAGGAAGCAGGACTATTGAATACATAATCATCAACATTTACTGAGAGCTCACTGCATGCTAAGCACCTCATAGCCATCATTTTATTCACTCTTCACAATAACCAAGTAAGGTAGGTACCATTACTATACCCATTTTACAGAGGACAAAACTGAGCCTCTGTGAAGTTATGGGACTTATCTCATGCTACCTAGCAAATAAATCAGAGAGCCAGGATTCAAACCCAGGTGACATTGGCTCCAAGTTCCACAGTCTTCCCACTGCCCCACACCACCCTCCTCACTGGGGACTGGGAGTTCAGAGAATCGTTCTGTTGCAGTGGCAGGAGCACCAGGCTGGGAGTCCAGGGCTTGGGGGCAGTTCTCACTCTGGCATTGGCTGGTGGTGTGGCCATGAGCCTGGCACTGCCCACATCTGGAGCAAGCCAAGACCCTCAACCAGAGTCCCAGGCCAGGTGTCCTTCCAATACCTTCAGTCTTGGTGGTGCTTGGGCCTCCAGGTGGGAAGCCCTGGGCATACCCAGCCCTGCCAGTTCACACCTGCCCCCTCCACGCTGTCAGCTGTACAGCTGCTGGGGGGAGGGAGGTGGGGAATGTGACAGACCCCAAGCTTTGCCAGCTCTGCCATCCTCTACTCCATGCTGCCATTGGTAGCTGCTCATGGGGGTTTGCGGTGTGCTATATTTGTTGGGGGGCACTGTGAAGAAGCAAAGGGTGGTGGGAATGGTTAACTACCCCTTACCATGTATACCAGAGAGGCAGTGAACCCCAGGGCTGAGACAGAGCCTGGAAGCTCAAGTTGTCTGTCATCTGCTTGCTGGGAGTGCCCAGTCTGATGCAAGAGGCCCAGATCCTGTTCTAGGGGAGCCCCCAGTCTGAGGAAGAGGAATAGGCCCTGTCCTACAGTGGCTCCCAGGCTGGGGGTGGAAACAAGGCACCTGCCCATAAGGAATGCCCAGTCTGATGGGGGAGACTGAGCACACCTGAAGAAATGACTTCACACATTCAGAGAAATATACAAATAGGTGCCAAGTGACTTATGCATGCACTCTGAGCAGAGCCAACAGAGCAGTGCAGAAGCCAGGCAGAGCATCAGAGAGGCGGCCTGGGGGAGGGTGGAGCTGGTGTGGGGGAGGCACTGGGAGGGCCCACCAGATGGCTGGGGCGTTGGACACAGCCGAGGATTAGGAGGGGG